CCCAGCTAATTTTAAAATTTTTTGTAGAGATAGGATCTCATTATGTTTCCCAAGCTGGTCTCGAACTCTGGCTTTAAGTGATCCTCCCACCTTGGGCTCCCAAAGTGCTGGGATGTGCTTAATACTAAATGTCATGAAGATACTATTAAAATAATAATTGTGCTCAATCATTGTTTATTGATACTATTCTAAGCCTTAGTTTTCTCTTCTGTAAAACTGAACAATACCACCTTCTTTGCAGGGGATAGCATCGTCCTTGGTATATAGTAAATGCTTTCCTCCAGTTGAGTCAGGATATACCTCTCTGCTACCTCCACTTATTAGAAATGCTTGCCTTCAGCTGGGCATGGTGGCTCACATATATAATCCCAGCACTTTGGGAGGCTGAGGCGGGCGGATCACAAGGTCGAGAGATCGAGACCATCCTGGCCAACATGGTGAAACCCCATCTCTACTAAAAAGACAAAAATTAATTAGGCGTAGTGGTGCGCACCTGTAGTCCCAGCTACTTGGGAAGCTGAGGCAGGAGAATTGCTTGAATCTGGAATCCATGAGACTGAGGTTGCAGTGAGCCGAGATCATGCCATTGCACTCCAGCCTGGCAACAGAGCGAGACTCCATCTCAAAAAAAAAAAAAAAAAAAAAAGAAGGCCGGGCACGGTGGCTCAAGCCTGTAATCCCAGCACTTTGGGAGGCCGAGGCGGGTGGATCACGAGGTCAAGAGATCGAGACCATCCCGGTCAACATGGTGAAACCCCATCTCTACTAAAAATACAAAAAATTAGCTTGGCATGGTGGCGCGTGCCTATAATCCCAGCTACTCGGGAGGCTGAGGCAGGAGAACTGCCTGAACTCAGGAGGCGGAGGTTGGGGTGTGCCAAGATCGTGCCATTGCACTCGAGCCTGGGTAACAAGAGTGAAACTCCGTCTCAAAAAAAAAAAAAAAAAGAAAGAAAAGAAAAGAAAAGAAAAAGAAAAAGAAAAAAGAAATGCTTGCCTTTGGTACCAGAAAAAAAACACTTTCCAGTGACAACTCTGAAGATAGTAATCATACTACCATTGCGCTTTTCTGGATATGCCACAAACTGTATACATGTCCCTGTCTTGCAAATGATATCTCCTATACAAAGAGTCCTAGTCCTTAATATTTCAGCATACAATGTGTAATCAACTAAAACATCAGTATCATTTTAACATGAACTTCTGTTAATCCAAGTTCTCCCCCACTACACAAGTGCAATAAATATTTTTAAATGAAGGTAACTATATTCTTAACTCTGGGTAAAACTTAATTTGCTGGTTTTATTCTTCTGAGGTACTTATGAATATTGATTCTGTCACTCATTGCTTAAGGACCTAATAGGTGAAATACTTGATGTTTTTTATCATTAGAATAAATTGGCAAAAACAAAACAAAATCTTTTGAGGTAGAATGGCAGTATCTTCTGAGTAGTAGTAAAACCATAATTCTAGATGGTGATAACCATAGTCATAATGAAAGCATGTTGCTTGTTGACTATTTAACCATGCTGTTTAAGTCATATTAAAAACATCAATACTTAAAAGGTAAGTTTCTATCATCTTTAAAATACATTTATTTGGGATGCCATTTAGACAATGACTTTATATATTAAGGTTCATTCAACCCTTTCCCTTCTCAAACCTCTTCCATTTGTTTGAACTAAATAAATATTTCCTTTTTTTTTTGTTTGTTTGTTTGTTTTTTTGTTTTTGAGACAGGGTCTCACTCTGTTCTGCAGGCTGGAGTACAGTGGCTCAATCACAGCTCACTGCAGCCTAGACCTACCGGGTTCGTGATTCTCCTGCCTCAGTCTCTTGAGTAGCTAGCACTACAGTTGCATGCCACCACTCCTGACTAATTAAAAAAAATTTAGAGAAGAGATCTCACTGTGTGGTCCAGGCTGGTCTTGAACTCCTGGGCTCAAGTAATCCTCCAGCCATAGCCTTCCAGAATGCTGGGAATACAGATGTGAGCCACTGTGTCTAGCTATATTTCCTTTTCTAGAAGTGTTCTCTCAAACACTACTGACTGACCCACCATAAAAGATTGTTCCCATATATGAAGCTCTGAGTGACTACCATATGCCAACCACTCTATATGGATTTTCTCATTTGATACTAGTGGGGTAAGCACTATTATTACTTCTGTTTTATAGATTACAAAACCAGGTTCAGTGAAGTTCACTAACTTGCCCAATGACATACCAGTCAGTAAGAGACACCTGAAGGGCCAGTAACAATGGAGGAACAGAAGACCCTAAGAGAAAAACACTGATGCAATCAGAATGTACCTGGTCTCCCCCACCTTCCAGACTGGGGCCCTGACACAAAAACTTTGTCAGACAAGCACACAGAGGGGAAGATTTCATTTTATTGTTACATCAGTCTCACAAATAAACCCAACACAGCCAGAAACACTGAAAAGATAAAGTGCCAATGCAGAGAGGCCTGGCAACAGAAGGAGGGAGGAATCCAGTTCGTCTCCTCCATGTCCCCAGCCTGGAAATACATTCCTATTACACACGAGTAAGGGCAGATGACATACCAGGCAACCCATTCTATAGACACTTTGAGCTAAGAAATAGAAAACTGTACCAGGCAGGGTCTGTGCAGGGCAAGAAAATAGAAAACAGTCAAAAAACATTATTTTCCCAAATGAGTCCAGGCATGGAAATACCAAATGATAAAAACAGTATTTTCAAACTCCCTGTATTTGAGATGGACATCTAATAAAGTATTAGATAGGTTTGGTACTTCATGCTACTGCCTATTTTCAGAACTATGACCTGGGTAGACAGCTTTTCTCCCATACCCTCAATCTAAGGTACCAGAATTTTTAGTACTCTGGGAAAAACTGACCTCACCTTCTTACCTTGCCAGGCCACCCCCAAAATTAAACCCAGTGCTTCCTCATACACATCAAGGAGATGTGGGCTAGGAGAGTAATCAACTTGGTAGCATTCAAAGGTGAATGAAGCTGAAGACTTCCCATAACTGTCTCAAGACATTTTTTAGAGCCTCTATCAAGGCTGGGGTTTAAAACATAATTATTTGGTTAGAAAATTCAAATGTTTTGACTGTATTAAGTGAGATTATATCCTAAACCGAGTTCACCCCAACCATTTCAATTCCAAAACTAGAAAATTATTGACTGATCTTCAGAGGCCAGAAGGATCACTAAAAGTCATGTAATCATCCTGATACCATATAACCGTAAACGCAAAGTTCCAGAAGCAGTCGTATCTTTCCAGAACTTGAGAGTTCCTGGCCTTACATGGTCCATGGGGAATGCAAATAAGAATAAACCAGAAGGAACCTTCAACATGCCTCACTGTGGCCAAGAGTTAAGGCTCAGAGTGGAACTTTCAAGTAGGGAAGTAAAGGGTGAACTTTACTTTAACTTAGTACCAGGATAAGAGGCAGGCCACAATATTGCCATGAAAGGTAGGGAAGGAGGATGGAGAAGCCTCAGTGGAAAGGTGCAAATCACCCTTAGGTAAGAGAAGGGGGTATTGCTAGAGGGAGTGCTGAAGGCTGGTAACCCCTGGGTCACCCCTGCTGAGCTTCAGATGTAGCCTCTCAACTGTGGCTGTGCTTAGCTTTCTATCTAGCTTCCTTAGATAGAGGCTGATAGGAAGGGGGCCAGGGAATGCCCCCATGACAACTGACTACAGTGCGGCTGCCTAGTTGTTCAAATGATTGTCACCAAGTTCCTTTTTTTTTATTTTTCCCTTGAGACAGAGTCTTGCTCTGTCACCCAGGCTGGAGTGCAGTGGCATGATCTTGACTCACTGCAACCTCCGCCACCTGGGTTCAAGCAATTCTCCTGCCTCAGCCTCCCATGTAGCTGGGATTACAGGCGCCTGCCAACACACCCAAGCTAATTTTTCATATTTTTTTCTAGTAGAGACAGGGTTTCGCCGTGTTGGCCAGGATGGTCTCAAACTCTTGATCGTGGATGATCCACCCACCTCGGCCTCCAAAGTACAGGGATTACAGGTATTAGCCACCACACCTGGCCCCAAGTTCCTAGTCTTTAGGGAGGTTCTGTGAGGCCTAAATCATTCAGAGTTCCAAAGGGTTGTTTGGTAGGGGCAATTGCTGAACACCAGACAAGTTAGTTGGTGGTACTTGGAAAAGTTCAAAGTGGGATCCATTAAACAAACACTCTGAGAACTACTGCTATGACACAGGGTAGACTTGGGAATATCTTAAAGGGTTGCCCACAGATAGCTATTTTTCTGACTTGTCCAAATACTTCTATGACCAAACTGAAGGGGAGATTTCATTACAGATACCTGTGTGCCTAACGTGACACCCCAACCAAAAACTTCAAAAAAAACCTATATTCTCCTCAACCTCTGAGAAGGGTCAGGAAATACTGGGCAGTTATAAAAAGTTGTCCTTAACACTGCTGGCTCCTGCTCTGCCTCTTTCCTTTACCAGGACAGAACTGAAGATCTCAATTCCCTGCCTGAAAGTTTCATTCCCTACCTCCCAGAAAGATTTATCTAGGTAGGCCTCTCCAACAACTTATTTTACTCAGTCTATTCCCTTCTATTCTGGTTTTGCTCTCTCTTTTTTTAAACCTCCTTTCTCTACTCCTGGTTTCCAGCTACTTAAGTCCTTGGCAGAAACATAACAGGATGGGCAGGAATGCTGACCAGATCTTGGGAGTAATCAACATCTGACAATGACACTCTGATTTGCTTAAGCCTTCAATTCCAACTCAGAGAAAGATTAATATTCCTCTATCTGTGGTTCCTCCTTTCCTCCAAGAGGTTCCCAGTGAGAAACCATTTCATTCATCTTTGTACTCTCAGTTTTTAGGCCCCAAGATGAGTGCCTCAGTGTGACAGTTTGGGACAAGGAACTTTTAGTGGGCTTGGCATACAGGAGGGAGAGCTACCAAAATCATCCTAGTATCCATCTCCAGAGGATATTCCTCCCCTGTTCTGCCCCCCACCCCACTTTTTTTAAAAACACTTTCACCTCTTTGCCCTCCTGTTAAGGCTTGAACACAAACGAGGCAGCATGGGAGTCTTGGCTTGGAAATCAGGTCTGTGTTCTAGGTCCCTTGAGTCACTGACCTAATATATGAACTTTGACAATTCACTTGCCTCACTGGACCTTTAAATAAAAGAGTTAAACTATAATAGATGACCTCCCTGGGCTCTTTCACATAATCCATACTTGAGAAATCAATGAATGAATTTGAAGAAACTCTAATTCCAAGACATAGGTATCCTGGCACCTGTTTGAAACAGCTGAAAAGAGGTTAGGGTCAAGTTCTTGTTTATTATACACTTAGCTATAGGAAAAGAAGCAAATACACCTATGGAGACACAGAACCTGGCAGCCCCTATACTTGACTAATGAAAGCAAATTCCTGGAAGAAGCAGAGAAATAGGCCACAAGTGAGACTGGCAGTGTCAACAAAGGTCTATAAATTAAGTGATCAAGGAGTAAAAAACAATGGCTATAACCAGACAAGATCTCTAAGCATAGACTATAGTCTAGAGAGGTCTGAATGGGAAGGAGCCCCTGGAGCTTCTATTAGATGGAAGGACTTGGTCCACAGCAATTTGCTACTGCATTTGGTTCAAACCCAGTTTTCTCAATCTGTCAACTCAGTGTGTATGCACATGTACAGACATGCTGCAGGCTGTAGTTATGCTTCTGAAGTGCTGAAATGAGAAATAAGTATCAGAAGAAATAATGCCAAATTCAAAAAAGTTAAGCTGAAGACAAGCAAAATGTTAGTTTAAAAGCTACTCATTTCCTTACCACTCTGTGTGGCATCACCATTGCTCATTCTGATATGTGCGCTACAGAGTTTTGTGGGATGGTGAACTTTGAGTGTGGGGAGGGGTGGATTTGTAGTATGATTGAAAGCCAAAGACAGGATACAACCCCATATCCTGTCTGAGAACCACTACCACCCACCCTAGCTCATGACAAATGGATGTGACTTGATCTGACCCATTTGGGTACTCACTTGTCTTCATTCAAAGAGACTGTCTCCATAAAAGGGATTTCTTCCTTGTCTGTCTTCCCCATGACCAGCCGGTGCTTATCCAAGTTTATGATACACTAAAAACAGGAGAATCATTGGTAACTTGCCAGTGATACCACTATGAGTTCCCATGTAAGAGGATACCTGCCTCAGAGAGGAAGTATCGAGGGGTAAGTGGAGTCAATCTTACCTTCAGAGATCGGAGAGTCTGCAGACCAAGGGACAAGTTTTTCTCATTGTCATCTTATAAGAACAAAAAGATGATTAAGATTCAGCCATTTCCATGCTTGCTTAGAAGTCAGCCTAATCACTATTAGGTTCCATCCATCTATCCATCCATCCATCCAGTAACATCCAATAAACATATATTGAGCATCTGTTGTATTAAGTAATATACTAAAGTTAAGAGGCAATAGAGCCAAGATTCAAACCCAGGTCCTTTTTACTCTAAAGGACAAAGGCCTTTAGACAAAAACCAAGAACTTAGAGTAGCCAAGAATAAAATATATGAGAGGTGTAGAAGGTGGTGGGAAATTATCAAGGGATTTACGGCAAAGGAGTAAGTTGCCCTCTGTCTCTAAATAGTTCATGGAAAGCTCTCAGGGGACATTTTCACCTGCACATAAAAATGTGTTTTCTTGCTTTTTTGCTTTTTCTTTTTTTTTTGAGACAGAGTTTTGCTCTCTTTTTGCTCAGGCTGGAGTGCAATGGTGCTATCTTGGCTCACCGCAACCTCCGCCTCCCAGGTTTAAGTAAATCTCCTGCCTCAGCCTCCAGAGTAGCTGGGATTACAGGCATGTGCCACCACACCCGGCTAATTTTGTATTTTTAGTAAAGACAGGGTTTCTCCATATTGGTCAGGCTGGTCTCAAATTCCCGACCTCAGGTGATCCACCTGCCTTGGCCTCCCAAAGTGCTGGGATTACAGGCTTGAGCCACCGCACCCGGCCTCTTGCTCCTTGAATTTTTTTTAATCTGACCTCCACATTGGTTTTACTGATTCATTCGCAACATATCTCGAATGTAGCTCAGGACCCATCTAGTACTTTGGAGAGCAAAAATTGGGATAAGGTTTATAGTATAGGAAAATGGGAACCATTTTGAAAGAGTCAATATTTACAGGCATGAGATCTCATGAGGTTTTGTTGGGAGTAGGGAGAGGGTTTATGTTAGGGTCCTGTAGGTCCAGCCCTCAGTTCTGCTTACCGACCACAGCTGCTGGGCAGTCCAGACGGAGGGAGCCCAGTGTAATCACTAGGTGCTCAATCTGGCCCACAACTTTGAGATGCCGGGGTAGAGAAAGCTTTTCTCCTTCATGCTTGTGGGATTTGACATGTTCCTTGAGTCTGCACCATAGAGGAAGATAAAAAAATCCCCTTGACAGAGATTCCTGTAGAATCTGGCAAAGCCTACCTTCTGACCTACAATTGCAATTCTCCAGGGATCTCCTGGACTAATTTACTGAAAAGTGCTAGCCATCCTACGTTTGTACTTTCAGCACTTTGTCCTAAACATGCCAGGGGGATAATAAAAACACTAAAATCTCATCTCCCGTTCTCAAAAACTTTACATCACTTATGTATACTGGTGAAGAGAGAGGGAACTAACACATTCAGAGAATCCTATTCTGTACCCTAATGCCCCTACCATTGTGTGAGGCAAATGAGTTAACATGTCCTTTTACCCATCTGTGAGTAACAGATACCAGAGAAGTCAGATTCATGCTAATTTTAGAAGGTCTTTGTTCAATGTCTAATTTTCTCTTTGTCCATTCTATTTCATTCTGTTTCATCAGTCTGTCTTAGACTATAATGTTTGTGGGGGCAAGTACTTATTTGGTAAGTGCATTGATATTCCTATCAGCAAGGAATATCATGGAGAAAGCCCTTGTTAATTTAACTTGTCTGTACAGGGGAAGAAGGAAACAAACCGTACCAAGGTTTCACATAGTTAACATAACCTGATTGGAATAGCAAGCACCCGAGCTATTATGGGTTGGTGGATAAATACTTAATTATGGACTTTCTGTGCCAATACTTCGGCTTTCCTCTATTTCTTCTCTTTTGGTGCTATGGCCCATCCAAAAGAAAAATAATTGCAGTTTTACAGATGGTTATTAATTCCTCTGGAATCATGGCAGTCTGCTGCCTAATTATGCACCAGGACATTATTAGTCTTTCTGGAACCAACATGTTGCACTATACTTCATCTCTTCACCACATAAAAAAGCTCAAGGCTGGGCCCAGTGGCTCATGCCTGTAATCCTAGCACTTTGGGAGGCTGAAGTGAGCAGATTGCTTGAGCCCAGGAGTTCAAGACCATCCTGGGCAACATGGCAAAACCCCTCTCTACAAAAAAATACAAAAAATTAGCCAGGCATGGTGGTACACACCTGTAGTCCCAGTTATTCAGGAGGCTGAGGCAGGAGGATCACTTGAGCCCAGGAGGTGGAGGTTGCAGTGAACCTGAGACTACACTCCAGCCTGGGCAACAGAGTGAGACTCCGCCTCATGAAACAAAAAAAAAGTAACTACTGGCTAATCATCTTTATGATGGCCCAGGCCCAGCAGCAACAGCAGTCCTATTCTCAGTTTTGATGCATGTTTCTTGGGGACAGGCAGTGCCTCCTCCAGAAAGACTCTGAGTAAGCTAAGGCCAACCACATCCCTACTTTTCCTCATCTGGATGGAGTACACCAACAGGACAGCTCCTTTCAATTTGCTGTCTAGTGGATCAGGGCAAGGCACACAATGAGCCAGAGGTCTCAGGCTCTCTCATTCAAGTTCAGAGGTCTTTGCTCAAAACTTAATAGGTGGGAGTTAACAGAAAGCTGAAGGTTTCCCTGCTCACTGATTTCTCCCTCTTGCCTGATAACCCACCACTCCTCCCCTCTACTAAGGACTCTGGTTCCAACTGAGATCTGAGCTCTGCATACTTCTCTTCGAGCTGCTGTGGAGACCCTTACCATCTCTAACCATAAAATAGAATCAAAGAAGTACACTCACATGTAAGTTCCACACAGCACAAGTGGCTACTTACCCCAATCTATCCACACAGGCTGAAGAGATGAGATTATATAGACAGCCTGTGTCAACCAAGGCTTTCACATCCTTTCCAGCACACTGTGGGGGAGGAAATGTACTGTTTAGCAAAAGCCAGAGAAGTGAAAGGGAAGGGAGATGCAGACAGCAAGCAGCAGATGTCATATGAAAGGCAGGGTTGGAGAGCATCCTCCCCATTATGGGTTGTAGTGTCTCATCTTTACCCACTGCTAAGTCTGCCTTTGACTGGCTCTTGTTCCTGCTGAATCCAGGGCTGACGGAAGATCCCAAAAAAACTCTAGGTGTTTCATGCTATGTATCAAATATCTCTTAATCTCTCTCTCTTTTTTTTTTAATCACATACTCGTTTGTAAATCTGATGAAAGCTTTGTTCCTTCTTCCCATAAAGATGCAGGTGCATATAAAAGTTGCATACACTTCCACTGTTGCATGGAGTGCCCCTTTTAAAACTTATTTATGAATTACATGAGACTCATACTCTTTTTTTTTTTTTTTTTTTTTTTTTGAGACGGAGTTTCACTGTTGTTACGCAGGCTGGAGTGCAATGGTGTAATCTCCGCTCACTGCAACCTCTGCCTCCTGGGTTCAAGCAATTCTCCTGTCTCAGCCTCCTGAGTAGCTGGGACTACAGGCGCGCACCACCATGCCCAGCTAATTTTTTTTGTATTTTTAGTAGAGATGGGGTTTCACCATGTTGACCAGGATGGTCTCGATCTCTTGACCTTGTGATCCACCTGCCTTAGCCTCCCAAAGTGCTGGGATTATAGGCGTGAGCTACCACACTCAGCTGAGACTCACTCTTTAAAGTCAGGAGGAGAGGGCCCCACATCATACTTTCCAGAAAAACCTGGAAAAGCTGTTCTCAGAACATTACCTGGCAAGAAACCAAAATCATGTCATCCTCCTCAGACTTCTTTAGCCCCTCAGACTTAGCTTGATTGAGTTTGTTCGTCTTAGAGGCCCAAGGGACACGGCTGCTTCGGAGCTTAGACAGGTTGGTTTCCATGAGGCGCCTCTGCAGAATATTATGAGGTTGCTTGAGGAATAGAAAGCAGAGACTTCTTAGTGACACGCCACATCCCTCTTTCCCATTGTCCCTCAAACACCATGAAAATAATGAAGGAGCCTCCCATAACTGAGCTCTACCTTTGCTTCTTATTATACTTCCTTCAAGTGAGGACTTCACTGGTATTGTCAGAGCAGGTATTATAAACCAATTTGCAGGAGGCCACCCTGAATGAATGAAAATGCAAGACAGGACACTGGGAAATGTAGACAGGGCTGATAAGTATTTTAGGGCTTAAGAGAACTGAGGGCCCTTGTGATTTGGACTAACCTAGCTCTGCTGCCTTTCTTCCCCTTACAAGAACATTTCAACGGAAAAGAGGTCTTAGTCTAGAATAAGTCATCTCTGTATCTTCCCAGGTGACAGTAAATTAGTGCCTTATAGAAAGGGCAGCTCATTTTCATAGGCTGAAGAAACTTAGCTAGCACAGGTATTCAGAAGTTCTGCCTACTTCTATGTCAAGTCTCACTATCTTACAGTCTTATCTTTCAGATGCAGTCTGCAGATGCCTTAGTGGTTGGTTCTCCTGTGGGCTGATTCACCCATGGGTGGATAGGGTGAAAAGACAGGAATTCACACTTGCTGAGCAAGCCTCTCAGCAGACACACTTTGCAACCTGACAGAACACACAGGAATCATTGTTGCTGGCATCCCCTGGACCTCGAAACACTGGTTTCTCATGCCCTATCTTGTCATTTCCCTTCAATTGCCCAAAAAGTAGGGGTAAGGAAGGGGAAGACACTGACCAAGAAGCCAGGGACTTAATTAGATCTTATATGTATGCCAGGATACCTAATGTTAAGAAACATAATGAGAAGTCTGAGTTTCAGTCTGCACTTTGATAGAGCTTAGGAGAGTTCCTAGGGAAGATATAGTCATGCTCTACTGTTCCTATTCAAAGTGGCCTCCAGAAAGTTTAAGATATCTCTTGAAATCCTATAACTGGAGAAATTTGAATACACAAACATTTATGCCCTGGTTACAATAGCATTTAAAATCCCTCAAAGGAGAGTGTTTCAACCCAAGTTTCTATCTAACATGTACCAGATGACACTCTGATTCTACAGGGAGGGAAGTCACTCTTAGAAGCCCAGAACCTAGAACCTTTCAAGGGGGAGGGGGTAGCATTGAAGGTCTTCAGTATCTGCTACCTTATAGATTCCAAAGGAAAAATGGAGTCACAGCCTATGACTCATTGTAACCCTAGCGAGATGAAGAAATGGATTCCCAAAATACACTGATTCTTGGCAAAGCACATTCTAAATTGGTATCTTTGGGAAAAGTGGAGGGAGAGGCACTTATAAAGAAAATGAGAGCTTCTTAACTTCACAAGGAGCTAGAGGAAGTGCTAACTCTCTCAGATTTTGTGATGCAACACTGGGAGAACGCTTTGCTTCTCAAAAGAAACAAAAATGCTTCATTCTAATCTGTCTTACCAATAAGATTGGATTCTTGGCTCAAGCCATACTAAAGCAGCTGTTTGTTTCTGTTACATTCATGCTTACGAGAACCAACTCAGATATAACTGGACTTGTAGAAGTGAAGATTGGAAGGGGTTTTGAAGGCCATCTAAACAAAGCCCTCTTACCTAAAGTTTGGGGATGTCTTCCTACATTGGTCTTGCTAAACACTTTATCTGTTCTTAATCTTGCAAAGGAGCTTAATCTTTAGTGGACAGATGAGACAAACGAGGGAAGTTCTAAAATCATTCTGCTTGAAGTCTTCCCTCTTCCATATTTTCCTTACTTTCTGCTTGATTCTTCTTCAACAAGGTATAAACATACTAAAAGTTTGTAAATATTGGGAAGAAAACTCCTCTGCAAAACATCAGCTCCTGCTTCCTTGACTCTATAGCCTCCTTTAATCACCCTCCTTATCTGGAATAGTCTTTTTTTAAAAAGCCTAAACCATGACATCTGTTTCCTGATATCCTATATTTTCTTCACTGAGATCACTTTTGATCACATACCAATAATGATCTCTGATTTCCAAATCCAGTAAACATTTTCAGCTTTAATTTTACTAGACTTTTCTAGTGCATTTGGCCCTGCTGACTATACCTTTACTTGTTCTTTAGTAACCAAAAACGGTTCAAACATATGCTCAATGTAAAATATTTAAGTATCACTGATATATATAAGATAAAAAAAACAAAGGCCAAGCACGGTGGCTCACACCTGTAATCCCAGCACTTTGGAAGGCTGAGGCGGGAGGATCTCTTGAGGTCAAGTGTTCAAGACCAGCCAGGTCAACATGGTGAAACCCCATCTCTACTAAAAAAACATACAAAAATTGGCTGGGTGTGGTGGTGTGTGCCTTTAATCCCAGCTACTGGGGAGGCTGAGGCAGGACAACTGCTTGAACCTGGAAGGCAGAGGTTACAGTGAGCCTAGATCGCACCACTGCTCTCCAGCCTGGGGAACAGAGCAAGACTCTGTTCCAATGCCTTTGCACTGATTGTCCCCTGTGCCTGAAATGTTCTTCCCAAAACATTTCTAATAGTTAGGTCCCTCTTATCTTCCAGGTTTCTGTTCAAATGTTACTTCCTCAGAAATACCTTATCTGACCATACAACTTAAAGTAGGTAGGTCACCTCTTTAGTTACCACCATATCTATTTCTTTCATAGTAATTATAAATACAAAAATATTTTACTTATTTATTTGTTTACTAATTTCGCCCCTGCCCTACTCACATGTTAACTGCACAAGGGCAAGGACCTTGACTGTCTTGATCTCAGCTATATCCTCAGCTCTTAACACAGTACTGACAGAAATCTCTACCCTTTCTTTCTTCAAAAAGGCTTTTTATTTCCCACCCGAGATGGAGTCTAGCTCTGTCTCCCAGGCTGGGATGCAGTGCTGCAATTCTGGCTCACTGAAATCTCTGACTCTCAGGTTCAAGCAACTCTCTTGCCTCGGCCTCCCAAGTAGCTGGGACTACAGGTACACACCACCACACTTGGCTAATTTTTGTATTTTTAGTAGAGATGGGGTTTCACCATGTTAGTCAGGCTAGTCTCAAATTCCTGACCTGAGGTGATCCACCTGCCTCAGCCTCCCAAAGTGCTGAAATTACAGGTGTGGGCCACTGCGCCCAGCCAAAAAGTCTTTCTTGATTAGTATCATTGAATTCTTTCTTTCAGAATCCCTTCAATACTTAAATATTAAATAGTTTGTACTACTTGTTCTATCCCTACTCTCTGACTGTTTAATAAATGTGCTTAAGTGGTTCTCATTTGTTTACTGACATATTGGCTTTCCAAGGGCTGTCCAGACTATCTTTTAAGATACACAGTACTGGCCAGGTACACTGGCTCATGCCTGTAATCCAGGACTTTGGGAGTCTGAGGCAGGACTGCTTGAGGCCAGGAGTTTGAGACAAACCTGGCAACATAGTGAAACTATGTCTCTACAAAAAAAAAAAAATTAAAATTTTTAAAAACTTAAAAATTAGCTGGGCATGATGGCACATGCCTGTAGACTCAGCTACTCGGGAGCTGAGGTGGGAGGATCACTTGAACCCAGAGTTCAAGGCTTCAGTGAGCTACGATCACACCACTGTACTTCAGCCTGGGTGACAGAGTGAGATCCTATCTCGAAAAAAGAATGTACAATACTAACTTGCTAGATTGGTACTGCAGGTACCCTGGTGGCCATTTAGACATAATTTTTAAGTTATCTTTCTGACATGGATTCTGCTTTATGCTAAACCTTAACAAGGCAGCTACTAACTTAAGCAGTCCTTGCTTCTCTACTCTTCCTGAAATGTGACTGCTAGAGGCATCTAAACTCTAACCAGGCAAGTTCAAATGTTCTGCCTCCATCACCATCAAGGGTTTCTAAAGGAAATGAACACTATGGGAAGTGCTGTATTATGAGTGAAAATAGCTTACAGTTCTTCAGTCTGTCACCCACGCTACTTAAACATCTCTTCTAACCAAACTATAGAGTCTGAAGAAAAGAGAGGTGAGAGGAATCAGACTATAGTGCAGGATACCATAGAATAATAACTTGAGCAAGAACTTTAATGCCACTTTCTCAATCCCTTTACCCAAGTTACCCAGACAGAAAGAAACTAATGGATTTCTGTGGTCCACAGAATGAACCAGACTAGAAAACGGGAAATGACAAGGGTCTGCTTTCTTTGTAGCATTTATTCCCAAGAGAGAAATCCAAGGTCACTAGCTAGCAATAGAAATACAACTAGAGCTTAGTTAGAACAAGAATACCATTCACTTTTTCTTTTTCCCCTAAAAGGGCCTGAAATAATCCTACTCCATTTTAGTCCTCATACAGTCTATAGATAAACATAGACTCCCGAGTCAAGCCCAGTATACATGTCTCTCTCTCTGACCTTGGAAATCCAAAAGGTCACCAATATCTGTACCTCCTCTTTGCTTACTAGCTGAAAATATGTAACATGTGACCCATTCTACCCCACGGAAACAAAGATTGTTCTTTGGTTTGCAGTTGCTCAAAAACATAAGGCAGATTGTTACACTGCCCCAGGCCTTCCGTGTTCTATTTCTTTGCCTTTGCTCATGACCCAACGAACAACCTACCCCACATTGTTATCTGTTTTGTGAATTAGTCTGAGATAGTAGTTTCTCAACTGCTCATGAAGGCTGCATTTTGTTAGAAAGGATTCACATAAATGGGCAAGGATAGACCAGATAACCTGTTAAATTCTTCTTACTCTGAGGTCCTACAAAGCATACTCTAGAGGCAGCCTTCTCTCCATACCATCTCACAGCCAGCTGGCTTAAAAGGAATGGTAAAGCTGTAATTAGATGCTGGCCTCCATCCTCATCATCACATCAGGATAGAGTAATCACTCCTTCCACTGGACTCCTCTAGCACATTTAACTATTACATCTTGGCAACTAGCATAGGCTTTCTGGTGGTGTTACTTATCTTCTAGAATTGTCTATTCAGCATATACATTTAAGTAACTAATTGGGACCCTAAACTTGTTCAAAAACCAAACTCTTGATTCTTATTCTCCATCCTCAACCTGCTGCCCCCCAACAAGTCTTATCCATTTCAATAAGTGATAACTCTGTTCTTCCAATGGCTAGGTTAAAAACCTCATGAACTTCTTTGATTACTCTTTCACTCTTAATCCAAACCATCAATTACGTTCGTCAGCTTTGCCTTCAACATGTACTCAGAACCTTATCCTTTCTTGTCTCCTTCATAGCTTATCACTCTGCTCTGAAGTACCATCATCTCTCACTTGGATTACCGTCAAATAGCTTCCTAATCAGTCTTCCTGCTTCATCTACTCTTGCCCTTCTACATTGTACCCCACATATTAGCCTGATTAGTCTTTTTATAAAATAAGTCATATCATGTCACCCCTCTGCTCAAAATACTCCACTGGTTTCCAGTCCCAGGTTAAAGCCCAAATGTGTAGGTATGAGCTGAGAAGAGCAGGAAATAAATAAAACCCAAATGCCTGCGCAATGGCCTCCCACTACATCTCTGATATGATCTTCTACCATCCTCCTCCTTGCTCATTTTGCTCTAGCTACAGTGGTCCTCTTACAGTTCTTCAGTTATATCAAGCACAGTGATGCCTCAGTCCTTTGCACTTGCTGTTCCTTCTTCCCTGAGACACTTTGTTCCTTAATTTCCTTCAGTATTTCTTCAAATGTAATCTTATCAGATAGGCCTTCCGAGACAACCCTGTACAAAATAGCAAGGCTCCACCCCACCCCAGCCACTGCCTTCCCTATTCCCCTTATCCTGATTTGTTTTCTCCATAGAAAATATTTATTATTATTACCTGATACATATTTACTTAATTTTACTTTCTGCCTCCTCCTTTCACAAGAATCCAAGTTCCATCAAGGCAGAAACTCTGTTTTGGTTCACTATTATATCTCCAAAGCCTAAATTACTGCATGCTATGTGTAACAGGTACTCAATAAACACTTGTGTAATAAATTAACTGATCTGTCCTGGCCTGTCCCCTAACCTCCTTATAATGAGAAACTTTTCTATCTTCCTGTTTGTGGTCCTAGCCTCTAGACTGTGTCATGAACACAGCAAGTATTCAAATAATGTTTGTTGTTACTAGAATGCAATCACGACTCTGCAAATTTTCAGTTTGTGCCAGATCTTGGTGTTATACTGATATTTCATGCTCCTCTTCTAAGCTTCCGAAATTCTCTAGCACATGACGTGTGGTGCGCTATGGATGGTTAATCTATAGGGCACACCACACAGGCCTGCTCTAATAGATTCTGTTCAGGTATTTTATGGTAAGTTTGCTTCACTGTGTTCTACCATCTTTCCCCCAGTCTCATTCCTAATTCTAGTCAGTTTTGAAAAAGCATTTAGCTATAACCAGAAGCAATCATATACAGGAAAGAAAAACTCTCTATTGACAGACAAGTAAGAATATGGTCTAATGCATACAGGTAAGTAATAATATCATTTAGGAAAGACAGAATATTATCATATAACATGAGTGTTTTTAAACATTAAAAAGCCTTTAGCACAATGAGAAAAACCTTTGTGAACCTGGTAGCTAAAACAAGGTAAATTACAATAGGCAAAATTCCAAGAATGGAGATGTTAAAAAAAAATCAGGGCGGAGTGTTGTAGCTCATGTTTGTAATCTCAGAAGTTTGGAAGGCTAAGGTAGGCAGATCTCTTGAGCCCAGGAGTTCAAGACCACCCTAGGCAACATAGCAAAATCCCATCTCTACAAAAAATACAAAAGATAGCCTGGTGTTGTGGAATATGCCTATAATCCTAACTACTCAGAAGACTGAGGTGGGAGGATCTCTTGAGCATGGGAGGTTGAGGCTGCAGCGAGCCGTGACTGCAGCTGCATTCCAGTCTGGGCAATAGAGTGAGACTTTGTCTCTTAAAAAAAAAATCAAATATAATATTACTCATATCTCTGGTTTTAGTTCTTAATCTAATACATAATCAACAACACAAGATAAAAGGATAAAAGAAAAAGAGCCAGACAAAAATATAATTTCCACAGAGGACTTTGTATCAACAAACTCCATACACACAGGAATAGGCAAAGGTACTTTCCCGGGGCCAAGAGAACATGACCCCCTTTGATTGCCTATGGCTGCCTTCTGCCAATCCTAAAAGGGCTGGCAAGCTGGTATCAAGCAGTGAATATTACAGAAACAGCATATTAAGAGGTAGATAATTCAGAAATCCCAGCAGTATAATTCAAATATAGGTTGCTAGTATGAGGAAAAACAATCTACCATCTTCACAAACCCAACAGTTAGTTACAACTAATTTTTCCTCTCTTTGCCTTATCTCCCTCTGGTGCTATCCCATTCCTTTTCTTGGACCCCTTATGTCAAGATTATACTATAAACTACTTGAACTAAGAACTATTCAATTAATTTTCCTATCCTCCAAATTTCCCTTGCAGTGAGAGAAAATGGAGTCAACACTGATCTATCCCAGATGTATTTGTAAAGTAAAACTATAAGAATGTACTTCTTAGAAAATGAGTTTTTGAAGTTAATTTAAATATTAAAAAAAGAAAAAAGAAAAAGAAATGTACTTCTAAGATCACTTCTAAGATTGTACTGAGGCTTCAACAACAGGTCAGAGAGTTTAAGCATGCTGCCTCACTCCAGCGCTTGCGGCTCTCCTAGCCCTACCTCAGTCTGCCTTGGTTTCTGTAACCTGGCTGTTCTGTGCAATCACTTGCACATCATAGGTGTGAAAACAGTGAGAGGGAAATCAACTCCACGACGATGGGGTACAGAAAGTGTGACGCATGATTCAGCGCCTCACAGTCAACTGGCGTGTGTGTGTGTGTGTGTGTGTGTGTGTGTCATATTTATGGCAATATCCTACTTCTTGAGGCTCCTTCCTTTTTGCAGCCTGCTGCCTGTGCTCTATGCTATCAGCCCTTCATGACTCGACTGAGACAGACTGGAGTCGGAAAATTGGATGGAATTCTTACACAGCATGAAGTAGTATAAGAAATCCTAGGTGGAAAGAAGCTCAGGTAGTTCTCAGAACCAGGAAACACCTTGACAACCTGGGACAACCAAATTCCAGCATTAAAAAAACTCCATATTTTAATTCTTCTCTTAATTTAATACTTCCTTCTTTATTGACTTTATTGATTGCTGAGCATTCTAGGAAATAGGATAGGATTACTGGGCCTGAAGGAAAGAATACTTCTTGAACCTGATTTGTTAAATGAATCTAGATTGCTTTAAAGTGAAGGAAGAGAGAAAGAGAGTTATCTCTTTCGCAGGAGCACATTTCAATCACTCATCACTCTGGGTTAGCATAAATCAGATAAACTATCCTTTGGCTTGTGCAACACACACACACACACACACACACACACACACACACAACTTTTAAAAAAACAGAGAAAGATAACTGAAGTAGACAAACCCTGCAAAGAAGTAACTAATGGCAGCAGGGAGGAGAAAGATGATATTGGTACCTGTGTGTTATTAGAGTTGTTAAATTAAAAAAAAAATTTTTTTAAAAAGGATGCAGAAGCTCTGCCCTCCTGGCGCCAGGAAAGGCAATTTCGTGAACTAGGGCCAACAACCACATCCAAAATTAAACATTTCAAAAGCTTAACATAAAAATACTAGGAAAATTAGGCAGAGCACCCATTTCATTTGTTAAAGACATTTAATTAGTGTTTTATACATTACCACACAAATGCATAAAGTGATTGTGAAATTCAAGAAAACAATCAAACTACAAGAAAACTCCAGATAAAACTATAAAGCTAAACATAAACTTGGCCCAGGACCACGACAGTGGCTGAGGGATGACAAGATACAGTTCTTTATATCGGTAACCCTTAGCCATCCATCCCATTCTATAGAAAGAAGACAGTACCATCTTTGACCCCTGTCCTGGGCTGCTTCTACTTAATGCCAAGAACAGCCGTATTAGAGGGGAAAAACCAAAAACAAAAAAACCAAAACACTGCACCCATCCCAGCTCCAAATACACACATTAGGTGATCGGTGAGATGGAGCAGCCTGGCTTCCTCCCTCTACCCACTCCTTGGGGGTGGGGCTGGAAGAGAAGAGAATGATGAAGAGATGTTGGGGGTTCAGGAAACCTTCACATTCGACCCCTTTTCTCTCTCCCCACTCAGTATGGAAGATCAAAGGCAGACAGGACCAAAACTAGAGAAATAGATTTTGCCTAGGGGGACAATGGACTCAACAAACTCCTCTGGATCTGGCAACTGTCAAAAACAGAAACCAAAAAAAAAAAAAACCAAAAAAACCCAAACCCTTTCCGCTTCCGTCTCTCCTCACACAGCCATTAGGAATCACCTCTGTCTTGGTCACAGGACCAGCCACCCAGCGTGCGAGGCACAAGCCCCATGAACAAAATTCGGTATAAAGAATAAGGGGAGAGAAAGAAGACCCGAGGGCAGAAGGGAAGAGCAGAAGGGCAGAGCAGGGCAGGGTCTCTTCCTTCTACTGGAGAGGAGAGAGACACCCAGGGAGAAGGCACAGCCGAGGGGAGCGCTAGAAAAGCCACGACGGAATCCCCACCGAGACCGCAGCAGCGGTGCTGGAAGGGGAGGAATCCGAGACCCAGCGAGAGCCAGCCAGGGACAGCGGCCGGCCGGGCTGTGACTCAGTGAAAGCCGCAGCGGCAGGGCCTCGGGAGATCGCGGGCGCGAAGCCGCCGGGGCCGGGGCCGGGGCCAGAGCGGCGGCGGGGAGCTCACCGTGTCCTTGGACGAGCCCAGCTTCTTCAGGCCGTCCAGGGGCAGCAGGTCCGCGGAGTCCTTGTGGATGAACTGCACAGCCTGCTTCATCCGGCGCTGCTGTCGCAGCGACGCCGCCTCCCGCATGTCGGTCTCCTTGCGGCCGCCCTCGGTGAGGAGCCCTGAGTAAAACATCACTGAGGCGCCTGCGGCCCGGCGGCCGGGTGACCCGCAGCTCCCCAGCAGCCTCAGCCTCGAGCTCTTCCAGCGCCGCAAGGGCCGCGCGCCGCGCCTTTTATAGCCGAGCGTGACGTCGCGGGGAGCAGCCAGTGCGCGCGCGGGGGGCGGGGCTGGCACAGCGTCCACGCCTCCCGCGGCTCCCGGACGTCCCGCGTCCGCTGCTCCGGTTGGCGCTTCCCAGCCCGCGGCGAAGAGAGCGAGGAGGGGGTTTCGCTGGCAGGACCGACCCGGAGGGCCGAGAATCCATCGCGGCCGCTTCCCCCAACCGCCCGCTCCTGCATAGAGGCCCCGCATCCCCTGGACGGGCGTGGGCTCTGGGGCCCGATGCCCTGGCAGCCCCGGCCACCTCCGCAGCTGGCCGCGGGTCCCTGCTCACCTGTCCACGCTGTGGCAGACCCGGGGATCACCGACAGCCGGGCCATGCCTCGATTCCCGCCGCCCGCGCCGCTGCTCGGCTTCTCAGAAACGCACCTCCACGCCGCCAGACGGGGCTCCAGCGCCCGCCGTCTGTGCCCAGAGGACTGGCGACTCCCTCCGAAGTTGGGAGCGCTCGGGATTTCTCCAACTTCAAGTCGGTCCCTACCCACTGGGTCACGTGACTGGGGAGGGGGCAGCCGCTGCGGGCGTGTGGAGGAGCTTTTCGGGACCTCCTACCCCGACACCCTCGGCCTGCAGCCCGGCACCTGGCCCGTGTTCCCGAGCCGTGGGAGCAGGTGCGGTTCCCTATACCTGCTCTCCCAACGGAAAAGCACCTGTCTTTTTCAACCAGTGCTAGGGCTTACCGTCTGAAGGATCTTTCACCATCTCTCCAGCGTCCTTAGTAGGAGCAATTGGAACCCGTTTTTTTTCCTGAATAATCCATACTTTTAAGCCATTCTAATCGGGCCTTCAGGCATCCTGGATTCTGGTCTTGACGTTGTGATTTCATACAAACCACGTTTCCACTCTGGAAACCACAAGTACCCTCTCCATCCCATCACACAGGAGCAGACCTGGATAAGAAATATGTGCGCTCTGCAAAGAACCATTGAGAAAAGTAACAATATTGATGCCTACTGAGCCTTCACTATGTGCCAGGTACTGGAATAAACACTTAAAATGCAGTGTCTCATTGAATCCTGGCAACAGCTTGTAAGATAGTATTCTCATTACCCCCATTTTACAGGCAAATACCTGATAACCTTCTGTCTGGCCTCCTGAATGCTCCCTGGTTCCATTCCAATCCATTGTTCACTGTACTGCCGGAGGAATTTTCTCAAACGACAACTGTGATCGTCTCACTTCCCTGCTAAGAGCACCTTAGAAGGCTTCCTATTGCTCTTAGGAGAAACCCACATTCTTGCATGATCTGCCTAGACCCTGTGTATCCACTCTGTACTTCAGCCTCAGGCCTTCCAGTTCCTTTCTGTCACTGTTGCCAAATGGCCTGCCTTTGACTGTCCTGTTCCTTCTGTGTGTAGTGCCCCTCCTACCCTCTTCAGGAAATTCCTATGCTTCGTCCAGACCTCAGCTCCACTATCATTTCTTTAGGAAAGCTTTCTCTCACCTTCCAGAGAGAGTGAAGTCTCTCTAATTATATGTTATGTCTCATGGATTTCACTTTCTGTGGGGGTGGAGATAGGGAGGTACTGGTTTGTTGATTAGTATTTGTCTCCCCCACTGATTGGAACCTCCAGGAAGGTGACTGAATCAATTTTTTTGCTTAGCATTGATGCCCTAATATGCAGAGGGCTCTCAATAAATGCTAGTAAAAGAATGGTAAAAGGTTAAGGTCATACCAAAGAAATCAAATGATAGAGCTGGCATCTATCCCCAGAACCTGTGCTGGGCTTCCTAGACCTGGAGAGACTGGGTTTGACCTCATGAAGTTTCTTTTCCTCTGTTCTGCCTTCAACACTTGCCCCAGTTTCAGAGAACACAGACTGTGGGAAAAGAAATCCAGAAGGTTGCTCACTTGACTTCAAGGAAGCACCAGGGCTGGATTCCTCCCTGTGTGCCCACCCCTTACTCTCCGCTACACACAGAAGACAGGGTCTTTAGGAGGCAGGTGGGATTGCTGTTCACCTTCCACTCCCCTGGCACACTTCCAGCGGTGAACAACAGTGGCTGCCCTGGCCCCTTCTGTCCTGTCACCTGGATCCCTGCCTGATCACTCTTCCAGGTGCGAGTCACCCAGGGAACAGTGAAAGACAGCTTTGCCTTGTCTATCTAGGACAGGTGCCTCTGAGCTTGGCAAAGCATCAGGACAGGTCCAACAGTGAGGGCCCCTAGGGAAGGAAGCCAGGCAGGTGGACACTCCTGGGGGGGAGTTGGAATCCTCACTTTCCAGCCTTTTTGGCTGAGGATGTCCTGACAAAAGAAAGGGGCTCTTTTCACAGCTGGATCCCCCTGGGAACACCAGGAAGCTGAATCTCTCTAGTTCAACTGGAATTTAGCCATATCGAGTGTTGCTGAAAAATAAATGGGGCCTGGCTGGAACTGGGAATCTTTTTGTGAATTCAGAACTCTTTGCTGTAGTAGGATTTGTGTTCTGCAGTTGGGTCTGTGGCTGCAGTACCTATTGCTCCCCTCACCTATCTGAGACCTTCCTTGGACAGACTGATACCATCACTGCCCTCAAGCATGGTTCAGTGTAGTGAGGCCAGCTCCTCCCTTCCCCCACATACTATGAGTATCTGCAGACTACAGACTGCTTAATTTAAGGAGAGTTATCTCTGAGTGGTTTATCCTGTTTGCCCAAATGGCTTTGAGTAGGTCACTTCCTACCTCTAAGTATCAGTTTCCATATCTGTAAAATGGATGTAGTGAGATTGCATATACAGTTGTGCTTGTAAACTCTCTAGGGCTGCACCAACAGAAAAGATTATTATTCTCCACATAGCCAACCAACCTCTCCTGCCTCATTGACCCATCTTGGAGGAAGTAACATACAACACAGTTATTAAAAACACAGGTGTTGGAGTCTAAGACACTAGTTTTGAATCCCTGCTCTGCTGCTTACTAGCTATGTGACTGGTTACTTCACCATTGTGAGCTTTCAGTTCTTCATCTAGAAAATTGTGCCAATATCTCTACTTCTCAGGGCTGCTGTGAGAAATAAAAAGACAGATAGTATAATACATTGGCCATGTAGCATAGGCTCAGCAGAAGGTAGCAACCATCGCTACCTGGAACAACTTCAGGAGAAAACTGTAGGTTGCAAGATGCTCAGATAGGAGCAGTACTCTCCTTTCTCCAGGCTTCCCTACAGAGTTTCAGACACAAAGCCAGACCTGAGAATCTTACCTTATCCTTAGAGTGGAGACCTCCTGAGACAGGGGCTGGCCAGCTCTCTTCCTCTCCAGTGTCTCCAGATTCTGGATTTTCCACGTCCAATGGCTCTATCCTAAAGTTCTCTGCATCCTCCTTTGGCTGTTAGAGAAAGTGTGAAATTTCATACAATTTCATACTAGAAAATCCAGTGCTGTTTCAATTAGAATGTTATTCATGTTATTCTTCTTATAAGTGACAGAAGCCCAGCTGAAAATTCCTTATGTGAAAATGCAAATTTTTCGTCCCCTTAATTAAAAAGTACAGGGGTTTCAGGCATGGCTGGATCCAAAGGCTCAAATGGCATTATCACTGTGTTTCAGCTCTGCTTTCCTCTGAGCTGAAGCCCCTGTAGGCAGATCCTTCCTGTCTGATGTCTATTTGCAGCTCTAGGCTTACAACCTATTCTCCCAGCAACTCTCTTTTGGGTCTTCAGCTAACAGAGAGGACATTAAGAATGAGAAACAGGATGAGTACGGAGGCTGGGAGGCCTGAAAAGTAGAAGAGGAGAGCAGAGGATAAAGGGGAGACTGCCAAGAAATTTTCCTCCCCATTCCCTTCCTACCCATGCATATTGCCCTTGGCCATACCCTGAAGTTAGAATGGCCACTCCTAAGACCCTCTTCAGGTACCACCCCATCCTTATAGCTGTAGGATCCTCCTCAGATGTCCTCACCATTACCCCAACTCCCTTTGGCAGGAAGATTCTTCAAAAAGCTATCCAGATGTGTGCCAGGATCTCTGGCTACATGGTACCCCTGACTTGGCACCCAGCCCTCAAGACTGTGTCTGCTTTGGCAGGTTAAAGCAAAGATAAGAGATATTTCTGTCCTCTTCCTTCAGAGTGACTGCGAGCATCACCACGGCCTCAAGAAACAGGGCTGATGGCAGCCCTGCTGGTGTTTTCCAAAGTTGTCTGGGTCTTTTGGATCCATTCCAGTCAGCAATGATTTGGTTTCATATCCTGGAATGAGAACAGGCTTTGCCCTCAAATTAGACAGCGAAACAGGAGAAACAATGGAAAGAAAAAAGAAACTCAGTATCTGAAAGAAGTGTGTCTGGTGGAAGTTGGGAAGTGGGGAGTCTAGGCTTGGCTTTGAATCTGGTTTCACTCCTTGCTTGCTGTGGGACCTTGGCCAAATTACTGAAACTCTCTGAGCCTGTTTAGCCATCTTGCAGGGTTCTGTCTCATCTGACTGAAATAACATATAAAGCCTGGCACAAAGTGGGCTCTCAATAAGTATGGCCTGTTTCTCTTTCGTTCCCCTTTCCAACGTAGATAGAGAACCCAGAAAAAGAGTGGCCCTTCTAAACCCAGTGGGAAATTCTTCATATGAAAACAAGAACTCTGAAGATGGCAAGTCTCTCAGAATACAGCAAAGCATAGGCCTAACCCACCTGCTCCATATCTCTTTATGTCAGCCTCAGCCAGAGGGGACAATGCTTGCAGAGTGGCTCACACTGATGAGTAACCTCTGTCTATCTCAGGAGCACCGAGGGCTCTACCTCCTTCCCCCTAGGTAACTAAGCATGTTGCTTGGATGTGATGGTGTGCATGCTGGGCAAACCACAGGGCCTGGGGGCCAATGGTAGCAGAGCAGTGAAGTGCCCTGTGGAATATGTGTAGACTCCCAGGTATGCAAACATGTGTACACGCTCACGCACATAGTGTTTAAAATGACCAGTTTTCGCACTTCTCTACACTGCCCAAAGAGAAAAGTCATTCATGATTATTTAAAAACTTTAATTTGGAAAAAAATTGAAACTTACAAAAAGTTGTGAAAAATAAAAAAAATAGAAAGAACACCTGTAGGCCGGGCGCAGTGGCTCAAGCCTGTAATCCCAGCACTTTGGGAGACGGAGGCGGGTGGATCACGAGGTCAAGAGATCGAGACCATCCTGGTCAACATGGTGAAACCCCGCCTCTACTAAAAATACAAAAAATTAGCTGGGCATGGTGGCGCATGCCTGTAATCCCAGCTACTCGGGAGGCTGAAGCAGGAGAATTGCCTGAACCCAGGAGGCGGAGGTTGCGGTGAGCCGAGATCGCTGCCATTGCAC